AAGCTGTACCTCAACAGACTGCAGAAGCAATAAGGGACTTTCGGCCGGGGCAACCAGGTGTTCTGTCTGGCGTCCACCTAATTGGAGGTCTGAGGGATGACATTGTCAGCCTGAGTGAGACATTGCAGGAGCTGGAGGTGGATGATTCGACGCCTAACGCAAAACGATTCGCTGCGGAAAACAGCGCAGTATCGCAGGATTTGAGCGAAGCACAGGGCCAACCCCAAAAGAAGAACAGTAGGCGGCGAGCGAAGCAAAAGGCTCGAAACGGGACAACGGAGGAAACGATACCGGAAGTCACCCCGATCCGCGGCAATGCGACTAACCGTGGGAAGGGCTGGAGGCAAACTCCGATGCTTCAAAGCTCGCCTTCATTCCAACCCTTCAACTCACTGAAACGGGGCCTCAAGGGCAAGAAAGACTTGCCCGAAAACGGATGGGCCTCGGAAGATGTTACTGAGGACATGGTCGAGTTCGACTTTGAAAATAACTTGGCAAAGTTTGATAAGCGCACCATATTCGACCAAATGCGAAAGGAAGACTTGGTTGACGAGGCAGACCGGCTGGTTTCGCACAACCGCCTGCCCAAGCCAGGAACAGCTGGAGGGAAAAACTTCCACTATTCTGAGAACGTGCTCGACTTGCCAGCCGCATCGGCAAAGACGAGTCAGGATTTCTGGAACAGTGAGGCTGATGATGCCGCTAATGGAGTTGATCGACTAAGCGGTCGTGATGTCCGGAGTGCTCAGAGTGGCCGCAGGGCGGACAGCAAACCAGGGGCTGCGAGGAGGTCGCAATCGCGGAAAGCGAGCGCGCAACTTACCAGTCAGCCCCTTAATCGCGTCAACTCCAACGTACGTCTGAACAGACATTCCCAAGCGTTGCTTCGTTCTCAAGACAGCCCAAAGAGTCTTCAAGGTACTAACCACCTACAGCACGTTTCACAGTCCGGCTTTTATCTCGAACCGTCAAATCGACGACTGGAGACCGTCTCGGCTCTTCAAATGCTGAACCTTGAAAACATCGCAGCCAACGAGATTGGGCTCACGGAAGACATGATGGCAGAGAACGCAGGCCGAGGAATCGCTGAGGTGACATTGCGAGCTCTGGAGGACCCGGCGATCCAAGTTCGCTTCGGAACCGGTGGCGCAAATGCTCAGGGCAACATTCTGTCGGCTTCTGCGACCATCGTCATTCTTGCCGGCAACAACAAATCCGGAATAAGAGCCATTGCAGCTGCTCGGCACCTGCGCAATAAGGGTCTCAACTTGCTAGTTTGTGTCGTTGGCATCGAGCGTGAGCGAGATCTGCTCGAAGACATGCGACAGCAAGTGAGAATATACAGAAACTTTGGAGGTCGCGTACACAACAAGATCGAGTTGTTCGAACAGCTTCGCAAGACAGCTTCAACCCCAACAACATCGGTAACACTCATCATCGATGCTCTTCTAGGCTTGGCGATCTCATTTGAGGAGCTGCGAACTGGCGACCAAGCCACTGTGTACGAGTTGATAGAATGGGCCAACCGAAACGAGGCCTTTGTTCTTGCCGTGGATGTACCAACTGGCATCGACCCGTCTACCGGAAAGGTCAGCATCATCGACGGTGGGCGCTTGTATGTCAAGCCTCGGTATGTGGTGGCGATGGGCGCGCCGAAGAAGGGACTGCTCGAGGCGATGGCACCCGTTTCGGACACCGACCCTTCGAATGTTCACGGTGCCGGAGCTGCTGACGGGCATGCTGCTGTGGCTGAAGATGAAGACTGGAAGCTATTCATTGCCGACATGGGTCTCGGCGCAACAGTCTGGAAGAAGGCCGGTACCAAGATTCGGAGAGGCATTGACTTTGACGACAAGTGGATTCTTCAAATGCGGTACCAGCCAGCACTTTCTCAGGAGTAGTGATTCCTGTCCCGGCGAGGGAAAGGGTGATTCACAACGGAGTTATTTATGGGAAAAGGATCATAAAAAGCGAGTCTTTTCAACTGCATTGTTTAGGCATTTTCTTTATCGCACGACGGTGGAGGAACAGCATACGGGAAGAGGAGTTTGCGTACAGCCTTCCTTCTATTATATCCGCATCGGGGAATGGTGGACATGATCTTGTATGATATTACAATAGCAGCAGCTATTACCGAGCATGACCCGGTTTTCTCGTATTCGCTACATGCCGCCGTTTGCGCTCAGTATCATCTTCTAAGCCCAAAACACAACTTACACTTAGTTAAGGGGGATCCATGTCGATTTTCTCATGAGCCTTGCAGTCGCCGGATTTGAGAAGAGGCAGCCGGTCGGCTTCTCGTGTGGATACTCGGGGCAAGACAAAAGATCGGGAGCGTATAGAGTAGGTGAACGTTGCGTTGGGGGCCGGAAGTTGCAGCGCTGCATCAATATATGTACTCCGTAGTGCTAGTGCTGACAGACGATTAGCACGTGGGGGGACCGAAGACCTCAACAGTCTCAGCCCTTCCTACCTACCATGATCGACATCGTGGGGATGGCGTTCGAATACGAGATTTAAGCTGCAAGGCTGTCATCGAACGCACGGCATGACTTGGAGTCACACGACAGTGTGAGATTGAGGGCCATAGGTATGCCTCGAGATGGGAGCGGGAGCTACGGGCCAGGCGGTCGTTCGTTGCTACCTAGGTGGACTTGGAGATCTCGGCGGGGGTAGATTGGGCTTGGGAGGACCGCGGGTAACCCGCGACGGGGAATTTTGGGCCTTCCAGAAAACAGACCAGAAGGGGCTGTGTAGAGACGACATTGACTACGAGGTAGTTCACACATGAAGTCATGAAAGCACTAGGGAGCAGCTGTGCGCCATCGTTGTGGAGGCTTTTACAACTTCTTGTCTCGCAGCGGGGAGGGGAGGGGAGGGGTGGAAGTCAGGCCATGGCTGAGGCTGAGGTGTCGTCAGCCTCCGAGCTGGAGACGTTGATCTCGTCATTGTACTGCTACCCTGGCCAGAGGTCGCCAGATCGGGTCGTAATAATCGAGGTTGGAGGCTCATGGGTTCCATTGCATTAGGTTACGGTTACTCTTGGGATAACCTCTAAATGCGACGTCTACTAGTGACGGGTGCGCGGGGATTGTGAAGCAAGCTATCGAAAGAGCCGCAACATGAGGACAAAGAGGTTTGGTGTGTAAGTGTGTTTGGAGTATCAGGCTAGCGATGCGGTATTCTGTGATGGGATTGTGCCACGGGGGAGGGGGGGGGGCTTATACAGCCCAATGGCCCCCAAATATGCAAGCTTGGTCTGTAGCCTGGAGGGGCTGCATACAATCTTGCAGCAGCAGCCCGAGACGGTCTCACTAGCCCCTGGTGATGAAGATATGGGAGGCCAACGGGAGGGCGCTGAGCTGTGATCGATCGTCTAGACTTCGTAGGGCGGATCGGATATCGATACTGATATAAGAACACTGTGGCGACCTGAGGCTTTGCTGGAAAGGTTTCCAGCACAGCGTGGACGTGGCATTGATTCCTGACCCTTGGGGCCAACCCAGACACGAGAGATTTGCGAGCTTCAACAGATCGACATACTCCAAATTCAAAAATAGGCAAATACAGACGAACGACGAAAAGCCAAAATTCCTTGGCTGTCGACAGCTCGGTCCGTCCCGTCACATCACGATATCGCCGAAACCCCCACTTCAGATGAGCTTCAGGTCCGATATGGTGGAGACTGGCTCCGTTGCCGGGGGTCCGCCCGAGGGGTAAGTACCTTTCCAAAGCAAAGGCTTAGCGATTTCCGCCCGCGGAGTTGAACTGGAATATTACGAGAGTGTAGTGCTGACGAAAAGTGCGTGTACCTTAGGCGAACCGACGCATCGAGTCACGACCATAGCATTGCGCACCGTACGAACAATTATCCTGCGCTATCTTGGTTGACCGAGGCGTTCCTGCAGACGCAGGACCGTTCCGCGAGGATCGCCGTCGGCAGCCCCCGCTCCGGGGTCGGCATCCTCGGGCTCGGGCTGCTGGAGCACCACATCAATCTCCTGCCGACCATGCGGCACGCCGACGCGGTGCCCATGTTCGACCACGCGGCGGGAAGGGCCAGATACCGTGGTTGGCGGCAGAAGGTGGCGACGTGGCCGCTTTCCCAGCAGGAAGCGATGAATAATCACACCTTTACCGTTTGAATGGGGGTGGTTTCCTATGTGTGCGGATTTGGAAGGGGATGAAAGGCGCCGGAGGCCCCTCGCCGGATGACTCGTCGTTCAAGGATGCCTGTTGAGGATGAGAACCGGAGAAGTGGATGATGGAGGGGAAGAGTGTCCCCGTTTGTTTGCAGTGGGCTGGCATTCCAGCCGTCATTCGTTTGCCGCCGGATGCATCAAGCGCCCAGTCTTGGGTATGGGGCTGCCAGGATGGCGAATCTTGAAGGAAAGAAGAACAAACGTTTTGGATTTCACAGAAGCTCAGCTGGTGGTCCGGGTTCGCCGCTCTTTTGGACGATTTGTAGCAGAAATAACAAAGAAGTCGCTCGCTCCTTCCGTATGCCTCTGTCCGCCACGCGAGAGGCGTTTGTAAGAAAGGCACCTACCTTCCATTGTATCCATCTGTGCATACCTACCTTATCAACAGGCTATCTTTCTGGCAGTACCGCAGGAGGTGATAGGATGCCAAAGTCCATCTCAGGCGACAAGGCAATTAATTGACGAGACCCATAATACCTATGGTGATGTGGTCTCGGTGAGCTTCAAGGTGACAAGGTGTGCAATTGCCATGTCGATAAAAGCTCACTAATGGAGAAAGGCGATAAGCCAAAGTACGGATTTACTACTGGTGGGTTCCAAAGACATAGTGGATTAGGTAGAGGCCGTGCGTGCGACACCGAGTCGCTGAGCGAGAGTGCGTGGCCCAAAGGCTGCCTGCCCGCCTGTCGGACCCTCAAGGTCAGCAAGAGTGGAAGCTTCCAACACTTTCCACTGCCCTGACGACACCGTCACCACCTGAATCGTAGAGCTTGGGCCAGATTCGACCCCTGGAGCGGTGCCTTACTTAAGCTGCCGAATGCACCGGAGTGCACTTAATCCGCCCCACTCTATGATTTCATTGGTTGTCTGGGGACCATTACCCAGGGATTGCCGCCGCCTCCCGTCACCACACCTTCCTGCTCCTGCTGGCTGGCCTTTACTACCTTACCTCCATTACCGCACCTGCCTGCCTCCGAAACAAAGCTTCCCATCTGCAAACCTCCCACCCTATCTCCGCCAACCACGAATTCTCTCCTTCACATACCAGGAAGGGATATAAACCCAACACAAATCGTCTTTCCTTTCTGCTTTTCTGCCGAAGAGGAAATTCTCCCATTGACAGCTACCCCACACAGCTGTCGATCCCACCTTCACACCCATACTCCGACTGCATACGAGTATCCGAATCATCAGAAACAGTCGATCAAGATGGCGCCTCCGTCGGAACAGCCCGCCGAGCATAAGAAGAAGGTCAACTTGATGTGAGTAAATACCCACCGCGCCTACTTCGTCAAGTAGCTCGCCCAAGGAAGGAATCACACTGACAATACCTACCAGGGATGCCTCTGGTGCTGAGGTCAAGGATGTTTGTCCACCCTCCCCCCGAGTCTCGATGCAAACGGATACCGTGACAATCGATCTTGATACTGACTGATCAAACAGCAAGATGACACCGCGACCGCTATTCTCAAGAAGAAGAAGAAGCCCAACCAGCTGATGTACGTGAGCTCTGGGAAACGTGGGGCAAGCTTCATGACGCTAACTGAAGCAGGGTTACCGATGCCGTCAACGATGACAACTCCATCATTGCCCTCTCCGAAAACACCATGGAAGCTCTTCAGCTTTTCCGTGGTGACACCGTGCTCGTGCGCGGCAAGAAGAGAAAGGACACCGTTCTGATCGTCCTTGCCGACGATGAGCTGGACGATGGTAGCGCTCGCATCAACAGAGTCGTTCGCCACAACCTGCGAGTAAAGCACGGTGACATGATCACTATCCACCCGTGCCCAGATATCAAATACGTATGTGTCAACAGGACACCGCTTCTCCGAGTACTACTTACTAACTCCCACCGCAGGCCAAGCGCATCGCTGTTCTTCCCATCGCCGACACTGTCGAGGGCATCACCGGCTCTCTCTTCGACGTTTTCCTCGCTCCCTACTTCCGCGAGGCCTACAGACCTGTCCGCCAAGGCGACCTCTTCATCGTGCGCGGTGGTATGAGACAAGTAGAGTTCAAGGTTGTCGAGGTTGACCCCCCCGAATACGGCATCGTCGCACAAGATACCGTCATTCACTGCGAGGGCGAACCCATCCAGCGTGACGAGGAGGAGGGCAACCTCAACGAGGTCGGCTACGACGACATTGGTGGCTGCAGAAAGCAGATGGCTCAGATTCGCGAGATGGTCGAGCTTCCTCTTCGCCACCCTCAACTCTTCAAGTCGATCGGTATCAAGCCTCCCCGTGGTGTCCTTCTCTACGGCCCCCCCGGTACCGGAAAGACGTTGATGGCAAGAGCTGTCGCCAACGAGACGGGTGCCTTCTTCTTCCTCATCAACGGTCCCGAGATCATGTCAAAGATGGCTGGTGAATCAGAGTCAAACCTGCGCAAGGCCTTCGAGGAGGCCGAGAAGAACTCTCCCGCCATTATCTTCATCGACGAGATCGACTCTATCGCGCCCAAGCGTGACAAGACCAACGGTGAGGTCGAGCGCCGTGTCGTCTCCCAGCTTCTCACCCTCATGGACGGTATGAAGGCTCGCTCAAACGTCGTCGTCATGGCCGCCACCAACAGACCCAACTCCATCGACCCCGCTCTGCGTCGTTTCGGCCGTTTCGACCGTGAGGTCGACATTGGTATCCCCGACCCTACTGGACGTCTCGAGGTTCTCCAGATTCACACCAAGAACATGAAGCTTGGTGACGATGTCGACCTGGAGCAGATTGCTTCGGAGACCCACGGTTACGTCGGTTCCGATATCGCTGCCCTTTGCTCCGAGGCCGCCATGCAGCAGATTCGTGAGAAGATGGACCTCATTGATCTCGATGAGGACACCATTGACGCCGAGGTCCTCGACTCTCTCGGTGTTACTATGGAGAATTTCCGCTTCGCTCTCGGTGTCTCCAACCCCTCCGCTCTTCGCGAGGTCGCCGTTGTCGAGGTGCCCAACGTTCGCTGGGAGGATATTGGTGGTCTCGAGACCGTCAAGGCCGAACTGCAGGAGAGCGTTCAGTACCCCGTCGACCATCCCGAGAAGTTCCTCAAGTTCGGTCTTTCCCCGTCTCGAGGTGTCCTGTTCTACGGACCCCCCGGTACCGGTAAGACGATGTTGGCCAAGGCCGTCGCCAACGAGTGCGCTGCCAATTTCATCTCCGTCAAGGGACCCGAACTCCTCAGCATGTGGTTCGGTGAGTCCGAGAGCAACATTCGTGACATCTTCGACAAGGCCCGCGCCGCTGCCCCTTGTATCGTGTTCCTCGATGAGTTGGACTCCATTGCCAAGGCTCGTGGTGGTTCCATGGGCGATGCTGGCGGTGCTTCCGACCGCGTTGTCAACCAGCTTCTCACTGGTAAGTTTCTCTCACTCAAGGCTGAAATGAAATGAACACAAGCTAATTCTATTGCAGAGATGGATGGTATGACCTCGAAGAAGAACGTCTTCGTCATCGGTGCCACCAACAGACCTGAGCAGCTTGACCCTGCTCTGTGCCGTCCCGGACGTCTGGACTCTCTCATCTACGTGCCCCTGCCCGACCAGCCCGCCCGTGCTGGCATTCTCAAGGCTCAGCTCCGCAAGACCCCTGTTGCCGACGACGTCGACATCGACTTCATTGCTTCCAAGACCCACGGCTTCTCCGGTGCCGATCTTGGCTTCATCACCCAGCGTGCTGTCAAGCTTGCCATCAAAGAGGCCATCACCGCCGACATCCAGAAGACCAAGGCTCGCGAGGCCGCAGGCGAGGAGGCTATGGATGAGGACGAGGAGGACCCTGTCCCCGAGCTTACTAAGCGCCACTTCGAGGAGGCCATGCAAATGGCTCGCCGTTCCGTCAGCGACGTCGAGATTCGCCGCTACGAGGCTTTTGCCCAGCAGATGAAGAACGCTGGCCCTGGCGCGTACTTCAAGTTCCCTGAGGGTGAGGGTGCCGCCAACGAGGCTGGCAACAGCTTCGGTGATGCTGGCAACGATGATGATCTTTACGACTAAGGGATGGATGGGTTAGAGTGCCACTTAATGCAGGCATGCCCGCGTTGTATTCTAGTTTTTCCTTGCTCTCCGATGCATCTGCGTCGTCACGCGTACAGATGATGGGCCGAGTCACAGAAATTCGAGCCTATCGACGGAAATCTGGGTCGGACGGAGTTGGTAGACAGGTAGTTTCCATGATATGTTGACCGAACCAAGCCTGGTTCTCAGATTGTGTGATGTTGCGAGATTCCATGTCTTTGAATCCTTTCAGCCGAGTCTACTGTATCGAGGTTGGCCTTCACGCTAGCAATGAAGGGGCCCATCACAGTTCGCTTGTGAACGCATGAGATCAAATAGCGCAGAGATCCTTAGGACATGGTACATGGGTGGTTGACCAGTTCATTTTTGCCTCCCTAATCATAGTCGGCTACGTAAAGAATAGGGATCCTATGCTCATTCCTTCTGTGGAACGAACTCTTCCAAGGATCCGATTTATGTGTACACGCAATGCCTACCTCGGCATTTTCTTTATCTGACATCAATGGCTTTTATCATCAACAGGAGCAATTTGCTCAAACCAGCCAGCGAAGATGTGCTCTGTGAGCACCTCACGCCTGGGTGAATCGTCTCGTGAGCATCGCAGTGGTGCCGTCTCCTAACCTCAGACAGCACTCATCTGTTGGTCACCTGTTGTAACCATCTCCTCCCAAGGTCTGCCGCCATAACCTCTTCTTTCCCCTGCACGGTAATACCAGCTTCTCTGCGTCGCTCTATTTACCAAACACATGCCTCCTCATCTTTAGCTGGCACCGTCAATCTCGCAGACAGCCTCTAGGCTTTCTTGTGTGACCTTGATAGCCTCGTCAATGACAGCCGAAGGGATGGCCAGGTTCGGCTGCGCACTCGGGTCTGCGCCAGGCGCCGGTGTGGAGGAGGCAGTGCCATTCGTCTTCTTATCCTTGTCCTTTTCCTTTTCCGACGCTGCGCCGTTTGTTTTTGCTGTTGAAGGGGATGCGGTGGAGGGGGCGGAGGGGTCGAGAGTGTCCTGGCGGACGTCGTCGAGGACGCGGCGGAGGAGGTCTGGGAAGGTTGAGACTTCGCCTGTGCGGAGGAGGTTGAGGGCGTGGTTCTGGATCAGGGTGGGCCAGTTTGCCTGGTTCGCGTGGAGGGAGTGAAGGAGCTGCTCTTGGATTCTGGAAAGGGGGGAAGAAGGGTGGGATGGTCAGCTTTGCGATGTTCTCCCCCTCAGGGCCCTGCAGGGTTTAGGGAGGATGAAGGAGGGGGGGGGGCTTACTTTGTAACATGGCCGTCCTTAAGCAGTAATGTGTTGATTTGTGATCTCAGCTCTGGATCTAGAGTTGCTGCTGAGTGGTTCGCGGCCGAAGGTGGCACCTTCACTGGGGTTGACGGTGTCTGGCTCATTTTGCTTATCTGCCGGCTGCTTATATGTGTGATGGTTTCGTAGAGATACGCCTGGAGAGGCTTTCGTATTGGAATTTGCAGGCAATCCGTGCTCTGAAGTTATATCACTGGTGATAAGCTTGGCAGCGAGGGTTGTAGCGTGCACTGTGGACGATTGATGATGGAGCTGCTAAGTAAGGTAAGGCAAGTGTTGCGCATGCGATCGCGTAGAAGCCTAGGATCCGTTATTAGCAGGGAGAATTCATAATCCAGCATCCAGAAACATACCAATGAAGAGACGCTAAAGCAAGGATCCGGGTATCGATGTCAAAAGCGCAGTGTCGGTGGTTAATTGAGCATTGGTTGGTCGCAGAAAGTAGTGATCTTGGTGGCAAGGCTGACTTATTTTTTGGAGCCGCCTCCAGGGAAGCTTCAGGTTCTCAGCAGCTGACGGTGCTCACTGGTGCGCAAGGCTGAAATCATGCAGGGGTTTTCTGGTTTTGGCAGGCCGCGGGCACGTGGGGCCGGTCCTGGATTTTGCGACGACGAGCCGCCTAAAACCTGGAGGAGACTGCCACCTGCCGCTGGAGGAGCAGGAGCACCTCCCCCCCGTTGCCCCCTCCACACCAAAGCTGCCGACCCCACTTTCCTTTCTGTCAGAAAAGGAGGGACCCGTCTTCCCCAAAGCTTTTTACCCGCCAGACTACCCGTACTTTACCTCCATTGCCAGGATTGAACGACCACCCAACGTCAACCCGAAGCTCATCGGGCTCTCGTCAAATCGCATTCATCCGAACCATCGAGATTCGAGAGCTTTCGGCAACTTTCCAAGGAGTTGGACGATACTCGATGCGAATTACAAGGCAACGCAGAAACGGGGAGAAGGGATCACCAACATCGTCGACGGAGCATCAGATGCAACTTCAACTTTTATCAATCTCACACTCCGACTTGTTTCCCATCTCATCTGACGGTCAACCTCGTTTTCGTGCAGTCAACTCATCTCTCACTTCCGTTTAACAGCTTATTCCGAACACCGAGCCATGGTACCGCCATCGGAGCGGGCGGCCAAGGGCCCGATGACAGCTCATATCTCGTCCGCTTGTCGGTGAAGGTCCTTGCTCGATCTTCCAACAAGTCACATAGACTTTGCCTTTCCGCGCACCGCATACACTTTCGAGAGGATCTGACCCCCAGTAATACCCATGGCAGGCGCGCAGCAAGTATCTCACTTGTACACCGTCTCCAACATGCATCCAGAAAGTTTGGCAGCTGCTAGGAAGTCCCGAGGCGAGCTCGCCCCGCTCTCGCCGCGGCGGGGCGGGCGGGCGGCGATGTCACAGTCTCCCCATGAGGACCACACTGACGGCCGACTTCCTCCGGCCCGTCCCCGAAAAGCATGACCGCACCGCGCATGGAACTAGGTCCAAGCCTACGGCCTGGCACCCACTACGGATACATACGCATCGACGCACTACTCTCACGAACCGGGCCTTCCCGCAATGACAATCGCTTCCCGAGAAAGCGTGGCAGGACCCCCGTCTCTTCCGCCCCCCTTGACCGGGGCCTTGGCCCGCAGAGAAGAAGAGAAGACGTTCTCTGCGGATTGGACGATGAGAAGACGATTCGTTTACGTCTGCTTGGTGTGCGTAGCCGAGCCGGGCGCTGTATCGCTCAGCCATGCGAGGCGAGCAGATCACCAACGGTCACGTTGGACCGCGTAGTCGAACCAAAACCTTCGCCGTGGACCGGGGGTCTGGGACTTGCATCTCTGCGGGACGTCCTTTTTCTTTCTTCTTCCCTCTCGGGTATGGCTTCCGGAGGCTGGACGACGTTACTGCAAGGCGAGTCGTAGAGTTGCGTCCGCTCGCTGCGTCGGAGACTCCCCATGTGGAAGTCCACATTGTCGGTCAAGACTCTGACCCGACTCACCGATTCTAGAAGCAAGGGGATTCCTGAACCTGCGTCCGGCTGCACTGCAATTTCTCGGGTTCGCTAGCTCGTTGTCGCTGGCGCTGGTGCCGGCGCAAAGAAGCAAAGCCCTATCTAGAACCTATGCCATCCCGACCTTGCATAACAACCTCTACACCGAGGGCGTGATGGAAGTGGGCGAGCATCTCAAGCGGCATCCATGTGGTGTATTCCCATTCGGCCGGATCGCGGGAGTACAGCCTTCGAGACATGCTTGGATAGAAGTCACAGGACTCTCAGCCAATGCTTTTCCGGATGGCGTTTTCAAAGTCGGGTCCCGTCTATATTGTGCCTTGGTCGCATCATAGATGCGCGCAGCGATTCATTGCCGTGCTTTCATCTGTAAGGAAGGTTTCCGGGGGCAAGGAATCTCACCTCCCGGCCGGGGTTTGAATTGCTTTCCCCCTTCCTTCCAATGCCCTTTTATTTTTTCCACAACTTGAAGGGCGATTTGATGATAAGAGAAGCAAGTTGGGACCCGTTTTCCTAAACCGACCCAGACAAGCATGTAGTACACCGACCCCCTTCACCGCTACTATCCCGCCATGCAGGTTGATAAAACACCCCCAGCTCCAAGAGCCGAGCCCACGAACAACAACCCCGGCACGGTACTAGGTTACCGTGCCGCGAGAGTCCACTTTGAAAGTCTACTTTCCCCCATCTCGGCGCAGCTAGCCGAATGCAGGCGGGATTCTTGGGAAGGGAGAAGGGTAGCAACGAAATGTGATGGCCGCCGCGGATTCATCTTCCCTGTGGGCCTCCCGCGTACAAGGACTGCAACCACTTCCACGGGATGCCGTTTCTGGTTTCTGTCGTATTATATGATTCTCCTTCTTTTAGTTCTTACAACTTTTTCTCTCACCTCTTTTTCCTGCCCAGTACTTCATAGGCACGAGTGGTTCCCAATCGGCCGTTCTTCCACCGTGACAAAAAAGCTGGCAGCGCCTATAAGCACCGCATGCTGCAGGGTCTCTTGTGGTGCGGTGACGCGACTGGACGTCGTTCGCGTCGCCGGCAAAAGATCCAATCGAGACCCCTGACTTGTCCAACGTCTTGCTAGGCCGCACCTCTCTTCTCGTCTTACAAGCGACTCCTTTGGGACGAGGCTGTGGGCCGTGAGATGTTGGACAGAGTAGCGAGAGAAATCTCGTCTACCAATCTGGTGGTAGTGTGAGCTACGACCGAGGTCTCGGAACCGTGAATGTGGGTTTTTGTCCTCGTCTGTGACGGCTTATTTCGGCGGGCACTTCGAGTTCTACGCGAAGGGGTGTGTGTATTTCTCTGTGGCTTCCTTGCCTTTATGCGTGTAAGCTCTCGATCTTTACGTTGTTTTTTTGTATTCTTGGCTCTGCTGTGTGACGGCGGACTTCCCTCCATCGACATATTTCGTGGGAACGCGACCAGGGAGCCTCACGTCCACGTACTTACCTTGTGATATTGCGCGTCGGGGCCTGGGCCTGGGATGTTATCAAGCATCACGATTCGATGGCGTTGGATGGGAGTACATATGTATATATTCATCCTCCGGAAGCTGCAGGCGTGACTTGGCGCGGTTTCGAGAAGAACGAACGGTTGAATGTTGTCTTGTCTCTGATTTGACATTCCACGTAGACCGTCCGAGATCATTGCTCGCGTGCCCCCCCCCCCCCCCTTCACACCCCTTTCGAAGTTCCGAAAGAAACCTACTGGTCCGCGGAAACAGTTTCCAAAATCTTACCTTTGACTTGTGGGTTCGAAGCTGACGGATGAAAGTACTGCGCTGCTACTTCTGCTACTGCTACATTGCCATCCGGTTCAGCTCAGCCGGGGATGTGTATTCAAACCTTCATCGTTACAGCCACCGCTCCTTCTAAGCATTCTCTCTCTCTCTCTCTCTCTCTCTCTCTCTCTCCAACGGCAGCTTGTCGCTATTATGTATGTGTGTGAGTGCCAATGGACGCGGGAGGAGCTGCCGTTGGAGAATGCGCCCCACGATATACAAAAAAGGAGACTAGAAGTCAAGGAGGACTTGGAACCAGGGTGTGCATATTGGCATTCAATATTGCACGTGAATTGGGAGGTACTTGAAAGGGCCTCAGGCTGGATGGATGACAATTATTGTCCAATCTGGTGACACGTCGTTGCGATATGCTCTTTATCGCCCCTCCTGCTCCTCATCCTCCCCTTCCACCCCCAGTCCTACGGAGTAAAGGCAAGGTACTTTGAGAACCCTTGCGTCGGCTGACGTCTCCAAGCAAGATCTGCGTAATGGAAGCTGGAACAAGCGCGGAAGCTCCGACTGGAACAAACCACAACCCTGGCATTGTAGTGTAAGTACGTAGTCGGCACGTAGGTAAACTTTGTAACTTCCTGAACCAAGATAGAAACTCAAGAGAATTAAATTGGACTGCCGTTCAATACCCCTTACCGCCTGCAAGTTATGTACTCTTCTTAGACTTTCCTTGAATTCCTGCAGCATCTATCTCATCTAGGAGATCGGGAATAAACAAACATCGGTGACGAGAAGGTGACATCGGAACCACCCACTTCCGCTCACCCTCCTCCTTGGCGGAAAGGGGGGGGGGGGGCTTTGCCCTGGACAGAGGGTGGCTGGCTGTCAAGATCGCTCTCCTCGGTCCGGCGCTGGATAACCTAGGCAGACACCTCTCTCGATGCAGAACATCTCACATATGGACGGGGATATAGAGCAAAGAAAGATAGAGTACGGCAGAAGGTGAAAAAAGAAAGAAAAGACAAGAAGTCAATGGCATTGTCTCAGATTGTGCCGCCTGCTGGGCATCACCGCCATTTCTCTCCCTGCCAAGACTTTCTTCTTTCTGACAAGCTGTGCTTGTACTACGTAGTACGCGGGCACGCGGGCAACGCATCTACGTACTAGGTATCCGAGAATCACTTTGCGAAACGATTCGTGTCACCTCAAATGCTGTGACAGCATGTTCCCAACGCGCAAAACCCGCCTTGGCTTTGGCTGCACAGCAGCGGCAGCCACCAACGGCGGTGGAAGGGTAACCAGTTGCAGGAAAAAGAAAACGAAAAAAATCAAGATGACCTCGCAGTTTTGTCTGAGTCAGAGCGTCATCAGACTCAACTCGTGCTTTTCATGCTTTCAAGCCACTGTTGCTGTTTTGTGTCAACGCGACGCCCCGATTCGAGTTCATCCCATGCCCCGCGCAACCATCTCGAAACAGGTACTCCATTATTGAAAGTCGGAACATTGGACCCTGAAGCCGACCTATCCGGAGGTGAAACTGCCATCTCGTCGTCGGTTGTGGTCGGAAGGGTAGCCGGTAGGAAAACAGGGGGCTTGCAGGAGTTTATCCCCGATTATCGATACAACTCTACTTAGTCAGTACAACAAAACACAAATACTGAAAGGATGTTTCGACACGAAAAGTGTAAATCAGCATACAGAAACTCCAAGGCCACTGAAACAGACGAAACCGGTGCTCTTAACCTTTGCGGGTCAGTTTGATGGAGGAAAAAAACATCATCGTCAATCCTTGCCCTTACAGAAGCCCGACATCAATATATCGAAACTCAGCCTTTGATAGCAGAAAGTGATAGCCAAGAGGGTCGCCCCGTGCCATTGGGTGTGTGGCTGATTAGCACGTAGGATGGACGGCCTGCTGACGATCGCAAAGGCCTAGACCGCAAGATTGTCCGATCTACGGCGATCTCACCAATGCTATTCGGTTACTGCATCAAACGCGGCATCTTGTAACATAGGCGGCCCGTTTCCAAGTTATGTAATGTTTGGTGGTGCTACCGACGCAGCTGGAAGTAACAGAGGCAGGTCTGCCAGTGACAACTCGACCAGAGTCATCGATGCTCTCAACGGGTGTAAAGCCTGTAGCTGCGCGCTATTAGTCGGTCAGTGGTTGATCGAGGACATTTGCTGCGAATCATTGGTGGCCAACGACATTACGTTGCTTCCTTTGAGGCTCAAGAAGTCAGTGTCACGATGTGGGGGACCAACGGCACTTTTGGTGTGCTCTGTAGTCCCACTTCCGAGGATTCCTTTTCCCCCACGAGCCATGCTCCCCCAGACCCCAATCAAGGTAAGTCTGCATACGGGGTGCATATGCTGTGTTGAATGAATGACGTCTCAGCCTTGTGACACCAGATAATTGCTTGCTCCATCTCAACGTCATGAGCCTGCAGCGCGGCACATCCATCCTCGTTATGCGAAGTAGAAGGAAATCTAGGCCTTGTCGACGACGGAATTTTTGACCACGTGGAGAAACCCTGTGGGACGAACAAATACACAATGAAGCTGGAAGCTGAGAACGTGTCGGGGATCGTCGCCAATGGTGGAAGAGCAATCTTGGGGGTAACGGTCGACACCCTTGTCGGAGGTGCCAATGTGTGGTCTGGACACCTGCAGAAAGATGCCGGTGGTGATTCGGACGGCCTTCCCGTTTCGCGGTTAAGCATGGTCATAGCAACCCGGCGAGAGGACGAGCTGCATCCGTACCCAACTCGGCCCTCCTTGATCCGTCGAGCAACGTTGACGGACACCGGCGGGCTGACCTCCGCCTTCTCTATGGCACCGCCCGGCGGAGATGAGTTGGTATCCATTGTTGGGGCAAATACCCCAGCCTGCAATGCGCCTGTACAGCTCACTGCGAGTTTGTGACACGTAAATCGAACGATGAGCTTTGGAGACAAGCGATGTCTTTACTGTAGAGGATTGAGCCGCGATGGCTCCGCAGGTAAATCACATCTCGAAACTCGAAATTGAAGAGCTCTGTTCAACCTGAGCAAGGCTAAAAACTCGATCATGCTGTGTCGCTTGAATTATTATTTTTGCGTGAGACGGAAGACTGTGAGAGGGAACCGCAAGCGAAAGGAAAGTCAAAATCTTCACGGGTGAGCTTCAGCTGTTGATTGCGTCGAGCCGTAGCCCGCTCGGGAGGCACACACGCTCACCGACCATCTGCATGAGGTAACCGATAGCGCCTCATCGCTTCCCAATCGAGGACTTTCTTGTACAGGCAAGCGATGTGTGAGACGCGGGAGTGAACGTGAACAGTTGAAAGGTTGTTGGAGCAATGGCGCAGCTTGTCTCATCCGACAAACCATTGCGCGTCCTACGCACATCGGACTGTTGTAAGAGTCGGACGGTCGAGGTGAAACAGCTATTAAAAGCCTCGGCGACCTCCCAGCCGAACGGTCTGCAACAGTCGCAACTTGCAGCGGCGGCGTGACTCGAGGCTGGCGTTGCAGATCCGTCACCAACCTCTTCCTTGCAGCAGGTAAATCTACACTCGTGTAGACAGGACGAGCTGAGAAGCTTACTTGGTTGCTTGGGTTCGGGAACACACCTTATCGCCCCTCCTAGGTATTAGTTGTCGCGTCTCTTTGCTCCCAGGTTGTCCGCCTGTGATCACTCAGATCCAGTGTCAGTGACTGGACAAAACGGAACAGCGTAGATCACATACTCTGAGCAGCCATGCAATCGGAAGCCTTAAGCGCAACTGGATAAGCGGCCAAGCGCGAACCTTCACAGTATGTGGCACGAGAACCGAGCCACAGGCAGAGTCATCCAAGGTCATTGGTTGATCATCAAGTTTATCGACCGCGTCTAGGTCTTGGAAAGCAACGAGAAAGACAAATAGTGACGAAGAAAAGTCCCGAAGCTCGAAATCCTTGACGTTTCTCCGCAGCTTCTGGGCCGTCCGCTAGAGATTACGACTAATAGGAGGGTTCGAATTGGTTCTCGTTGGGGGCGAGATGTACTCGCGCAATCCGCCCATCCACTGGCGGATACTTTTGGTTCCAGGCTGCTGAGCACCCGACCAATCCCAGAGTCCATGTTCCATCCAATGCCGCAAAGCGTTGGACAGTTCAGCCAAAGAGCAACGGCAACTCCACCCACCACCTCTAGAACGATCAAAGCCGCCGAGTTGCAGGGGTAGTCCGGCCTGTCTTTGAGATGGTGGGTGCCGGACCTGGACCTGCTTGTGCTCCTAAACATGTACAGGTGGTGGGTAGGCACACAGGCACACTTGCTGGTCCGGTGTATGCACACGTAAATGCACGCTGCCGCTACAGTCACTGTGCCCTCGTCTGCTAACGCAGCTGATGGTGGAGTTCAAGCGGTGAGAAGGGCCTGGATGCAAGCCGTTTGGTCGGGATTCTGACCACCCCAAAAGCGCGGGCTGATATCAACCGCGACGACATCGCAAGCAGTGACAGCAGCGGTGCAGGCAACTCCAGGGGTTCCGGAAGTTGAGTGACAAGGTCGATGATTGCTCGATGGTCTTTCACTTTTGCAACATCCTTGACTGATGCTGACGCCGGATACGGGCTGGGCAACCGAGCCCGGGCCAGAGAGAAAGAAAAAATGGCGAAGGAGGTTGTACCCAGTCATAGAACGACGGCGGATCGGAGAGGCTGCATGTCGCCTACGCGAAGCTGATGTTGTAGGTTGTCGTGGCTGACAAGCGGGTGGTTTTGCGTCTAGGTGTCGGTGCGCATCTCGGCCGAGGACCACTCCTGTACCATACATGCCCGTTGCCCGTTGTCGTGGTAGTATAACGTCTATAATCTAGAGAAATAGGTTCTTGCTTGGCGTTTTGGGTGAGCAAGCCCGGAAACCTTGTCTGGCTTCCCTTCGTATTTTCAGTCTTTCGGCATCTCGAACGGAGACATCGGGCATGTCGAGCAGAGTGGGGTCGTGGGAAGCCAGAAACATTGCACACGTGTTGCATACGGATACAAAGAAGGGAGGATGTTGACTTGGCAGTCAGAGAGAGGGCTCAGAGGATCGAGAGACAGACCTGGCGTCGAGAAAGTATGCTAGTTTACGAGTTAGTTGAGGCGAAGTGACAATCCGTCAGTTGATTAGCCAGAGGCGTAATAAGCCAGCCTTTGACCCTTTTGTGCCAGACCACACTGGCCAGGTCAAAGTGGCCCGGCTGAATTGTCTCCAAGGATGGGAACCGTTTGTGAAAGAAAGCAGAGAGGAAACGCTGAATTAGCGATGGACTGACTGCTTGAGTAATACAGCTTGACCTGGAGAGGGTCAAGAGAAGAAAGGAAAAAGAGGCATAGGTCAATGGAAGGAGACGGCGAGCCGTGTAGTCTGAAGGAGGGGAGGTCCAAGGCAAGCAAGGATCGGTCAAGGGTTTGGTGTTTCCCCTTCCCGTTTATCCTTCCACTCCGCAGCTGAGGCCCTTTCCAAATAGGACCAGCGATGGGACCGGAAGGGAAAGGGCTTGTAACTTGGAAGCTGGCACGCCGCACTGCAAGTAATGGAAGTAAGCTATAGGTACTCGGTACGGAAGACGTAGTGCTTAGTATCCGTTCTCTGTACTGCCGCCCTCGCTCACGGCTCAAGTTCTCAACACACACCAAACGCCCAATCAGCACTACCGCGGCAGGCATGACAGGAACGCATCGGATGCTCTCCGGAAACACCACGACGAGACCCGAGGACCTTCCAGGAAGTGCGTGCAGTCGAATGCAGATGCAGCAAATCCCATGCAATGACAGCCAATTTATTACCTAGCTTATTCCGTTGGTGCCATGGACGGAAGTCTGGATCAATTCCCATTCGAAGCTGGTACTTCAAGATGGAGGGGGCCAACCGTAGGTATCCTATCCGTCAGACAAAGGCAAGAACGATTGAGAAAGAGGAAAAAAAGAGAGAGAAAAAAAAGCAATGTTCGACATGGAACCTTTGAGTGAGTGAGTGATAAAAAAAAAGACAGAAGCAAAAGAACCAACATCGGTCGGTGCCTTAGACTGGCAGGACCCCTCATCAACAGGCCGGCAGGACCTACCTAACCTTTGGGTACATTCGCACTTGCCTCTATTCAGAACTTGCAAGCAACAAGGGTCGATGGGGGACATTGGATGCTACAATCTTTGATTCGATTTCCCCCCTTCCTTTCTCGCAGTCTCCTCCTTCCGGGTCTTATTAGGTAGGGGCCCCCAAACGTCGACGTGATGTTGTAACTTTGTGTTTCTCAATATCCCTCACCATCGTTACGTATTTCTTCGTCTTACTATTTGGTTTTTCAACCACCTTGCCGTCACTCTTTTGGACGTTCCCGTTCCCGTGTTTCCGTTTTCCCTCCCAAACTTCCCGTCGTGCCTTATTACGGATATACCTTACACAGACACGGTATGTGTACGTTGCCGACATCATACTGCCTACCAAGGGAAACAGTGTGGTACTAATCCCAGATAGCTAGATCCAGGACGAACTGTCCGTCCAAACAGATGGCTGGCTGACCTCGGTCGTTCCAACTAGCTTCCTCTCGTCCCCCCGTCAGCTGCAGCGCTGTCTCGCACTGTCTTGAACCCGTCTTGGAGCATTCCGCTTCGAGGCGTCGCGGGAACACCACCTCCTTGATGATCGCAGTGGAGGTCGGGTGTTCGCTCCGTGCTCTCGAACTACTCTGCTTGTCTGCTAGAGTAGGCTCTAGCACCCTTGATCGCAAGAGCTAAGCCAAGGTGTGTGTGGTCTCGGGACTCAGATCCCTCATCCCAACCTGTTCTCCCGCCCCGCTCCGCTTTGCCTGTGACAGAAAGGTAAGAAGGAGATGAGATGCGCTATTCTGGGTCACTGGAACCACGGTCCACGGCTGTTGGTCACCACTGAGTCCTGAGTCCTGAGTCCTGACATGACGGTCAAAGACCATGGGATCTCGAGACTCTGGAAAACACCTGACGGCTTACCGGCATTCTGGCACAGCCTCTTGCTGTCATTTGCATCGACAGTTGATGATGCAAGTGTGTATCAACACGAGCATCTCGGATTGTCATGTCACCCCTTGGCTACCTTACCTTAGTACCCTATCCACCTCTGCTTGGGCTGTCCGTACGATGAGCACTTCATACTTTGCGAGGTACCTTTATGATCTAGGTATCAAAGACGGGAGAGAAACATTGAGCGCAAGAGAGAAGGGGATTCCAGACCAACGCTGATCATCCTCCCATCGTCACAAGTTACTGCGGATATCCCTCCACTCTATTCTTCAATGAACACCCCCAATTTTTTTTTATTGGAATCGTCACTGGGCCCTCGGCTGTGTCCTTGTCGTCTGTTCCCCGGTGGTGGTCAATTTGTCCGGACACACACACTCTCTCTCCCAGTTTCTGTCTCTCTGCACCGCGTGGTTGTTGTTTTTTTTTAGAGCATGGATTCCCCCCCCTCCACATTTAACCTTCTCTTCGCGTTGCATGCGTAGCATCCGGATGTGTTACTTTTTATTGTCTTCCCCTGGCTGTCGGTTCCTGTTTGGGGGCCCAATTCATCTCCATCCCCCGTTCGCATCCCCATCTCAAGCTCCATCTCCATCTCTCCATGTTCCGTGCTCTCCCTACGGCCCCAAAATGCCCCTACGAGCAATATCATATGCATGAGTAGCCCCGGCACTAACCAGGGCGCACATCAGGACCCTTGGCGATTACCTGTTTCCATCCATCAACCGAGTCCAGGCCCTCGTTGACATCCGGCCCAGGACCTGCTGCAGTTGCTGCTGCACCTCGCAACTCATGGCTGTCTGGCTTCCGTTTACATCGACTTACACCTCGCATTCCGTATTATCTGTCTACTCTATCCGTACTCCGTACCTGTAGCTACCTTGCGCATCTCACACCCATCCACCCAATCAGCCGTCTTTTCATCCACCCACCATTTGGACGCTCACTCCGTCTCCGGGACCTATCTACCCTTTCCACGACGTGCATACGGAGTACCTGAGGTTCCATACGACAGGGCAACGTCCCGGTCTTCATAGCATCTCATCATCGCCATCGACAACAACCACAACGCCGGCAAAACACCAGCATCAGCCCCGGCCGCTACTCCACTTCTCAAGCAAACCAGCCGGGACAGGTCTCCACATACACGCGCTGAGGGTGGATTCCAGACTCTCGTTTGTTTCCTCTCGGGGTCTCGCTGCCTCTTTCTCACCTGAACTATCCGGCCACTGCCCACCTCACTCACAAGTTACAATTATCCATTGCCCACTGTGAGGTGCCAGTGCCATTGCGCGCACCTCTCTCTCTCTCTCTCTCTCTCTCTCTCTCTCTCTCACACACACACATTGGGCATCCACATTCACATCCACATCCATATTCACGAACCGTTCAGTCCGATAAGCGACAGTCGACTCAGTCCAACCAGAGGCTACCAGCCACCCGTTGCCTCGCTGCGCTGCGCTGCTGGTCGCTAACAAGCACCACACTGACACACCGTCGATCCGCTACTGCCAACCACAACTGCACTACAGACACGATACCCTCTGTGCTCTCTCTGGTGGCTGCTGCCATCACAGGCTTCACATCGCCGACCTACCATAACTTATTACGGATACCAACAGAGGAATTGGACCAGTGACAACCTGGTAGAACGAGCTTGAAGTAGCAATACCTCTCGCTCGCTCTCTGCCAATTCGATATTACAGATACCTCAAGGTACCTTTTGTGGTAACTTGTAAGTCCTTTTACCGTACTTGCCTTACCTTACCCGACCTGCCTTTACTACTACCCAACCTTCCCTTCTCCTCGCCTTCTAAGTTTCCATTGCCTTTGCCTTATACAAACCACGGGCCCGGCTGTACTACCTTCCCTGCCTCCTGCGGACCCGGAGGTGGCCTTGAGACTTGGGTATCTTTTCGCGTACTGGGCAGCTGGCAGGTACCTACGTCCGCTGTGGCAGGTACAACCTTCACTGCAGCTAGGAAGGTACAGCTGGATTGGCATTAGGCCTGGATCGCACTTACTACTTTGGGCGATCTGCTCTGTGCATGCCTACGTAGTAGATTTCGATGTGTGGCAGGTGCGAGATGTACTCTGTACTTGGTACCTGCTTTCAGGCGGTCTCCTGCCATCATCCCTTCCCACCCCTTCCTCTCTTTCCCTCCAATAATCGCCATCGTCACCATCCCAACCTTCCACCACATGTTTTCACTCGCCTTGGTCTTCTAATTCCTCGAGACTTCTTAAATTTCTTCTTCTCCATATCCCATTTCTTTTACGCCCTTCTTGTTTTTTTTTTATTCCTTGCGCCCGCCCAGTCCCGCAACCTCCTCCCCGGGACTTCAATTTTACCCTCTCCTTCTCGACCAGAATACCCAGTTGAGAAGCTTCCGTCAACACCTTTTCCAAACCGGCGGAAGAGAGAGAGAGAGAGAGAGAGAGAGAGAGAGAGAGAGAGAGAGAGAGGGAGGGAAGAAAAAACAAAGAGGGTAAATCTTGGTACTAACCCCGGCTCTCGGCAGGTAGATAGCTTGCCCGCTGTCTCGTCAACGCAAATACTTGTACCTAACGGATACCTTCTCAACGTCACGCTCCGTCTCCGATCCCGAGGCCTCTCGTTATTCATCATCCTTTTTTTCCTTTTCTACGGATATCCACCCGGTCATAAGCCTTCAGTTCCTTGGTTCCCTCCGTCCAAGGTCTCACTTTTGGCTGCGAACTCGAGGCGAAATCCACTCTTGCCATCCAGCTTCTACCGGCTCACCTCACCCAGGGCTGCGCCTGTCTTGCCTCTCAGATCGGGGCACAGCCTGCCTCTGCTGTGCAGTCGAGCCCACACCCGTGGACTCGCCAGAAAAATCCCGCCCCACCAGCCCTCGGCCGCCGAGTATCTTACAAGTCCTTGACTCGACTACCAGGGACTTCGGAGTGGCTTTTCGCCACTGATCAAGTCAGCCGACCCCACCACGACTCCAACAAGAGGGCCCCTCTGTACCGCCCTGTGGTCCTGTGGGTTCGACCTGCAACCCCGGCACCACGAGCCTTTGGGAACGCACGCTTTGCACGACACCCCCCGGTCTCAGCGCTCGAGACCCCTACCTCCCCCCAGTGCCACCTGCATCCAGCGAGGACCCAGAACCTTTTAGACGGGCGGGTAATCGCCTGCCAGACCACTCGCGTCCAACACCTTGGTCCCGAAACGAGATCTCGTGTCTCTGCCTGTGTCTCTCTTGGGGACTCCCACTTTCCTTGCGACGTACACATCGAGGTACCGCACCGTACCGGGCCTCCAACTTGCCACGGGAACGACGCCAACTGCGTCCCAGCTTCGACGTGCAAGTGGCATATCTGGCAAAGGTATGAAATCATCAACCCTTTTTCCCGGATCATGAATTGTAAGTTTCTCTCGCTTTTCCCTCCTTCCTTTCTTCTTTCCTTTCTCTCTCCCACTCTCTCCCGCGCAGGGGGGTTACTTTCCCTTGTATCATTATTCCTGACATCTGACTTTCTCTACTCTGAATAGTCCACACCATGGCAGGTGTTGAGAAGCCGCCCCTGCCGATGCGGCCTGCGAACGAGGCAAGAATGAACGAGACCTGCCAAGAGGGTGATCCGTTCTATTGTTTCCTGCTTCAGGGAACATTGCTATACTACCCCGTGGTGTTGTTGCTAGTCTTCGTCATCTCGGCCGCGACACACAGCATATTGACGACACCGAAAGAAGATGCGGACGAAGAGCCTCTGGGCCCAGGCGGTAAGCGACTACCCGTGTCGAAGAAGAAGAAGCGCCGCGATGGGGAGGAACCCAAACGCAAGCAATATGGCCCGATAATTTCACCTACTTCCCGATCATGGCTCACCTGGATCTCCGGCGTTGTACTCTTGACATTCGTCGCCAATGCTGTCGCTCACTTCAGCTACGTTATGGAAGAACTCGAGGGCATCATCAAGGGACATAAGGAATCCCAATCCATGACCGTATGTTATCCCTCACATACTCTCCAACTCGCAGGCTAATTGAACCAGGTGTACCTCATTGGATCGCCGAACCTTTACCTATACCTCATCACGACGCTCTTTGAGTGGAACGAAAGTCCGACGATAGCTCACTTCCTCACCTGGACTCTTTCTCTGATTGGCGAATTGGTCATTTGCGTCTGCACTCTGCTCAAGGCCGGGAACCCGAGATTTTCAAGCGACGGAACAACCGAAGTCGAGATCCGAAAGCTGCATATATCTAAGTGGGACTTGACCGACGTCGTTCTTTACATCATCCGCATCGCCCTTACGTTGTGTATGCTAAGTATCTACTCGGCTGCTTGGATCCATATGCCCAAACAAGAGGAGGATAAAGTTGAACAGCAAAACACATCTCAAGGTGCCGAGGAAACGACGCCTTTGCTTAACGGTCATCGGACGTCATACAGCAGCCAAAACGGCCGGGACTTGAATGGTCGATCAGTACGAAGCTCTAGGAATGGAAGTACCGTCGGCAACACTAATGGCGCGGCCGAAGGTGGTAACATCACCAAGGACTACAAGGAGCCCGGCTTCTATCGACCTGACAAAGCACCGCAAACGACGTGGTGGGGCTACCTGCGAAGCTACAAGGTGTTCTTTGACTATCAGTGGCCTAAGAACTCTCTACACCTGCAGCTTCTCTATGGACTCTGTGTGCTTCTCTTGTTAGCACAGCGTGCCATCAACCTGGCTGTGCCAATCGTTGTTGGATGGCTCACCGAGAAGCTGACCCTTGCAGAGGCACCTTGGGTTGTTCTGGGACTGCTTATCTTCCTTCGGCTCATGCAAGGAGGAGGCATGCTTCTGGATGCGTCGCGAGCCATCTTATGGGTACCAATCTCACAAAACTCGTACAGGGCTTTGACGACAGCAGCATTCGAGCACGTCCACTCCCTCAGCCTCGATTTCCACCTTGGCAAGCGCACCGGCGAAGTTTTGTCCGCTCTCAACAAAGGCGCGTCTATCAATTCCTTCCTTGAGCAAGTGACGTTCTCGGTGGCTCCCATGATCCTCGATCTGTTCTTAGCCGTTGTGTTCTTCTGCTGGTACTTCGACGCGACCTATGGCGCTATAGTGAGCTGCCTGACCTTCTGGTACCTATTCCTCACCATTAGGATGGCACAGACACGGGCAGACCAGCGAAGGCTCATGTCCAATGCCGACAGAGAAGAAGAGGCCGTCAAGAATGACTCTATTACGAGCTACGAGACGGTCAAATATTTCAACGCTGAGCAGTGGGAGTTTCAACGATACCGCAACGCTATCCAGGCATACCAGGATGCTGAGAAGCAGGTCACGTGGGGCGTGAACAAGATGAACGTCATCCAAGCCTTGGTTTTCATGGCTGGATTTACTGTGGTCATGGTCTTCGGAGCCTATCAAGTCAACCGTGGAGGAATGGACGTTGGCAGGTTCCTGACTCTCATGACCTTCCTCAACCAGTTGCAGGCACCTCTGAACATTTTTGGATCCTTTTATAGGACCATCCAACAGTCAATGATCTCGGGCGAGCGTCTTCTGGAGCTCTTCAAAGTTAAGCCCACCGTGGTCGACGGCTCCGAGGCCAAGCCCTTGCTTGAATGCAACGGCAACATCCGATGGAACAAAGTAGCGTTCAATTACGATCCAAAGAATAAGGCTCTGAAGGATCTCGACTTCGAATGCAAGCCTGGCACCACCACAGCGTTTGTGGGCGAATCTGGCGGAGGAAAATCAACTGTTTTCCGCCTCATGTTCCGGTACTACAATACATCTTCTGGAAGCATCGAGATTGACGGCCAGGATGTCAAGGACCTTACTATTGATTCGGTCAGACGTTACATTGGAGTCGTCCCTCAGGATACCACAATGTTCAACGACACCCTGATGTACAACCTCAGATACGCCAACCAGTCAGCCACTGACGAA